TTAAACACTTTGTTCTTACACATTTGATCATATAGTTTTATTTAAAAATTCAAAATTTTATTCTTGTGTTTTGAAAAAATTGTATAGTTTGAAAATTTTGCAGAAATACTTATTGGATTTTAGAACAAAGAATTTAAGCATTTTTCTCTAACAACATTTGATCATAAATACAATGTTATATCATGTGAAACACTTTACACAATATATTCATGAAATATGATCTTATGAATATTTTTGCAATAAGAAAACGTAAAATTGAAAAAAATATAGATTCATCTTTATGATCAAATTTTCTAAAAATCTTCATCTGTTTAATTCCTTTATATGTTTTCACTTTATACTTCTATTTGATACAAGATTTAGGCTTGATCTTTAATCTCTTCAAGTTGTCTTTTATATGCTTTTGCAATATAAATAGAAACTGATTTCAGTTGAATTTGAATTTTTAATGTTGAAGTCTCAACCTTCATATCTTGAGGTTTCTTTGGCCTCTCACATCATAATGCAATGATTTTGTCTTCCATGACTTGATACTTTGTACAATCGTTTAATATCTTCCTTTTCAACTTTTTTATCTCACTCATAATAGTATTTAGGATATCACTCATGTCAAATGATATATCAATACTTAATTTCATTTTCCTTAATACAAAGAAACTATGATGATTGTCCAACTTTTCAACAAAGAAATCTTAAGAAATTAAGATGATCATATTATATTTTTTATCATAATTTTTGACAACAACATATTTCCTTATTCTCTTAAGTACTAAGTTTTAGAAAAAATGGAGCATAAAAAAAAATGGAGCATTTAGTAGCTATATAGTATTTTTTACCATATTTTTTTACAAAAACATTTCTTTATATTATATCGAAGTCCTAATTTTCATTATTTTTTCAAAATTGAGCCTGATGATTCATAATTCAAATCCATCAAACATTCAATATAAATAAAAATGATATTATTTAAAAAATAAGATGGGATTGTATCATTTGTATATGTAATCAACTATCAAAAGTATCAATTGCATCCTTGATTTTGTCATTTGAGTTCTAAATGTTGCACAATATGCCACAATATATATATTGAAATAATATTTTTTATATTAAACTGAAAGTAATATCAAACAGATTGAAGATTGATCATAGCAATATAGGATTTTTATCATGCATCTTTATATTTGTAAAATCACAAGTTTTTTTTCTACTCTCTCTACGTAGAGATAAATGACCTCTGTCACATTCAAGAGAAAACAATGTAGTTCTTATATTATTGTAACACTAGTAATCAAGAGTGTAGCATAACTCCAAAGATGAAAGATATATATTATGATATTATTCCATTTTATATACATATTTTCAATAAAAATAAAGATATAAGATCTAACTCCCATCATTCATTTCACTCTTGATAGATTAATGACATGACAAATATCTAACAAACACACATATGTTGATGTGTACTTCTCAATTAACATATTACCTAACAAATTCAATTCTTACCTAAGAAACATATAGATTGCTCATATTACATATTTTACATTATATTGTAAATTTTTCTCATCTTGAATAATACTTTACTTTCTACTCACAAAGAGATGATTACACATTATTAATATCAACGAGTGATTGATTAGACTTTTTACACCTAGATTTGTATTTATCTTTCTTGTTATCATAACAAAGTATATAAATTTTATTATTATTAATTGACAAAAAGTATGAAGTCTTAATAATAAAGTATCAATATTTATATATTATTTTTTATATTTGATAAATTTAGAAATATAATATCAATACTCCAATCAATTCTTGTTATATTGTTGATAATATGGCTCAATAACATGTTTTGATTAAATGTAGATTTTTGAAAAAAAATATTACTGTTTTGATTAAAAAAAGTTAAAATAAACTTTCAATATTATTTCAATGAATTTGAATCAATAAAACATATTTGAAAACTTTTTGGATGTTGTATGAAGTTTTTTCGATTGCTTCATAGTACATTTGAAAGCATTGCAACAAAGTTGAGAATAAAATATGCAAAATTTTCTATGAACTTAATATTTGAAAAGTTGAATTCACTTCTACTTATGAATATATATTAGAAGAATATTGAATCTAAATTTTCACTTTATATTTTAAAAGATTTTAAGATTCATGTAAAGATGTTGAAACATAATTTCATATCATAAAAATAATATAACTTGATTTTATTTTCTGATTGTTAATTGAATTTAACAGAATAATTTGTAGTAGAAAAAAAGCTGAAATTTGATCTACATAGTTAGAAGTTTAAAATTACATTATTTGTTACAAGTTCAATATGATAGCAAAATAATTTCTACATATTTTTTCAAAGATTAATAAAAAAAACATGTTATTGTTTGATTTTGTATTGATTGAAAAAATTAAATAATGATAATACTCATACAAAAAATAATTTAAAAAACATTTCGGCTATTCAAATTTTAAAAAAATATAAATACTTACAATTAGCTGTAATTTTATAATTCTTCAATGCCATAAAATTTCATTTATCAATTCAAAAAAATTTCCACAAAATTAACTGTGATGAGAAAAACATTCAAGATCAACAATTTGTTAAAAAAATGATGAAAAAATATATTATACTCATGTATTTGATTGTTTTTAGAATATTAAATGTTACACAATGTTATTTTGTAAATAAAGACATATAATGTTTACTTATATGAAATAGTCTTGAATATCACTAATAATCATGTTTATTTTTAAGATAGTATATTTTTTTAGTTATTTTTTGAAATTTTCATGTAATAATATATAATTAATTGAAAATAAAATATGAATGACTTAATATGAAAGTAAAGTTAACTTGAAGTGAGTATTATACACTTATCATGTCCGCAATCCGTATTGTTGGTAAGTAAAGAATAAATGTGCTACTTAAGAATAATACATGAAAAACAATGTTTTTGTTTGGTATATAGATCATGTTATTAATTCACTATGTATGAAAGGATGATGAAAATGAAATCTGAACTCTTGATACTTGTTGGAAAGATTTAGATTAAGCCAAGTAAATATACTTCATATTTAAAGCTTGTGTTTGATATTTGAATGAATTCTTCTACTAATTTTTAGTGTTACATATATATTATAATATGTTACAATGCTATCATATAACATATGAAAAATTTATTTTTATTTTTTGTTCAAAATTAACTCTCCCTTGTCATTATGACAAAATTTTAATTGAAAATGATTTTTCATTATTGATTATATGAATATAATATGACAAGAATTATCAAATTTTCTACTTATATATATATATATACACACATACATACTTATTGATGTGCGCATAAAATCATCAAATGTTTATTTTTTTGAGTCAAAGCATTCAATTTCAAGAACTTTCATTCTTTATCATCTTTACATGTGATATTGAATTAGATGTATAACGATTATTTATTTATAACACACATCATAGAAATGATCAAAATATATCAATCTATGTGTCCATGTAAAAATGAAAATGACAAAATGTTAACATTATAGACTATAAAAGTCGTTCAATACATATTTTAGTTTTTGTTTATTATTAGATTTTTTCTATATTTTTTGAATTTTTATATTAATTTCATATAATCACCTAACACATATGTGAGAAAAAATTAACCTTAGTAAATTCAAATCAATTCAAATTAAAAAAATTGTGTGCATTTAGTGAACATTGATTATCATAAAAAAATTGCAGGCATATTGCTAATAAAAAAACTAATTCTAATTAAAACTTCATGTGAAAAGATACCAAATTTTTTTTACAAAACGTAACTTCACTAGCAAAAGATATGTCAATTGCATTTTCATGAGTAATTGTATTGTTATTAATGTTTCATAAAATTTCACTGCAGATATGCTCAGATATTGCATAGAGCATCATCAACAAACATCAAATTAGACGTTGTTTTTCTAATGTTTGGATTGTACATATTTGCTAATAAAATCTTAACCTTGCTTTTTGTTATCCATATTTCACCTTGTATTGTCATATCAAACATTGTTTGCAAAATTTAACTTCACTAGCAAAAGATATGTCAATTGCACTTTCATGAATCATTGTATTGTTAATAATGTTTCATAAAATTTCAGTGCAAATGTGCTCAGATTTTGCATAGAGCATCATCAACAAGCATCAACTTAAATGTTGATGTTTTGCTAATGCTTGGATTGAAAATTTTCCTTCATAAATCCAAAGCTTTGCTCCAATATCATTTAAGAGTTCAAATAGAAAACTTTATTAAGACATCAACTACCAGATTCCATCCAATAATTTGTTGTTCATGATATAAGAATAGGGACAAGAAACAGAAAAATATTTTTTTAAAAAAAACTTGCATGTTATGTGATCATTTGTCCTAACCACATAACTTATTAGATTAGATGAGTTAATACTAGTACTTTAATTCTTTTAATAGCCCTACATATCAATGAATTTATTATGGTAAGTTAGACTAACTAAGATTAAGGTAGACCCACCATAATTAATAACAACTAAATTTAATCAATACTTCATTAATCTCTAGAAAATTGGAGAATAACATTCTAGGATTTTTTTTGAAAATAACTATGAATCAACAAATGAAGATAACTCACCATTTCCAAGAATGACAAACAATCTTGATGTGATCATCATTGAAACTGGTAAATACTTCCATCGGTTAGCAACACATAATATTGAAGCTGAATTGAACTGATGCATGAAGTTCCATAATCAAGGGGATAAATTTGAAAATAGTCTCTTACTGAAGGTTTTTAACAACATACAAGGAGATAGTATTGAGATTTTTCTTACGAATTAGACTATATTGTCCGGTCCTTAGGAGATGCCAGAATAATCCTACAATAATTGATTTGAACTGAAGGTTTCCTCCACCGCGGCAGAATTGAGTTGAACCCCAAATGTGATTTGGAATGAACAATTTAATACACCTGATCAGTGGACGGTGTAAAATATCTCAGGAAATATATTTGGAATCGTCATGGTAGAAATCGTGAACGATCCAGACCTACAGGTCTGTACAGTAGTGCTACAAGGAAGAGGATGATACGTCTACACAACTGTCCATCAAAAGCCTTTTGATAACAATCTCCCTGCTGGAGTCAAGAGTGTTGGATTCCATATTGCAACTGGGTAAGTGACGTATTTAAATATAAAAAGACGAGGTGATGATGATAGACAGTGGGCACAAAGATCAAGGGATGAACTGAACTGATCGGAGACAATACGGATGGTTGACACTAAGATCGGAAGACTAAGACTTGTGCTTTAACCCATCGAAAACGAATAATTGCATAGGTATGTAGGACATACTTCAACAACAACAGCACAAGGACAAATTGACCTTATACCCAAAGACAGTTTAAAAAATAGCCTATGGAATTTCATTACGTTAGATAAGCACCGAGGAGAATAGAGGGAGAGAGGACGAGAATGAGGACAGTGTTTCCCATCTCCGGACCTGCAAGAACCTGGTGCTGCTGCAGTCGAGCTGTGGATTGCGGTAACCGAACTTCGCCAATGATTGGCATTTGTGACACGAATGGTAACTTGACCTTTGTTCTCCATGGATGACATCAAACTAGGAGATCACACTCATAGATGTGGGATGAAGCCTTCTTTCGTCCAAATCTAAATATCTAGACACAGCTTAGTGAATGAGTAACTTGACTTGTGAAGTCATGATTGTCCAGAAGACCCTGACTTGAAATTCTCGAGTGTTGTTCCTGTGTGATCCCTTACCCACTAGTAACAACTGTTCCTGTCGGTGTTTCGAGTCCTGATATCGGTAGTCATGATGGATACAAGGTACGTGTTTGTTCGTGAAAGATCGAGTGGCTTGGACCACAGCACATGTCTCCACAGAGCAAAATGCGCTCTGGTCTGCTGAACTGAGCATACAAGAAACTGAAAGAATATGAGTGAACCAGACTGGATAAACAAATATCTTTCGCGACGCTTTGTGCTTTTTGGAACTTTTAGAGGTGTGAAACATTGTAAAACACGTAGTGTATCTTTCTGATTTCTTTCAGGAGTAGTGGCTGTGCTCGAGGACAACTTCTTGTGGATATGCATCCGTATGGATGCGACATTTTCCCCCAATCATCTAGGGAACGCGATGGGATGCATAGGACATGAAGACTTCGGACTGCAATTTCTCCTCGAATGGAAACTCGACATGGTTCACTTGATGTCCACATATGCAAATCAAATAGCTCGGAATGAATGAAGTGTAGGCTCCACTGAGATCCAAGGCATCCCGCCTCTACACTTGTGAAGCTTAGACTTGTTTAAGAGTCCCACAAACCCTGAATAAGCATTAGTCTGTAGGCTCTAGACGCACAACCAAATGCATCGCGGAAAGAAAAGCTCCTTATCTGCTTTTTACTGATTGTACATAAGAAGAAAGTACTGGAGGAAAGTGAAGAACATTAATGTTTTCCCTCTCTTTTGACTACCCGCCACAAAAGTGGATTTGACCCCAAGTAAAGTCGGAAGAACAGGTGTACGTGGACAATGAGGGTCACGAAAGTAAAAGCTAGTGGTAGAGCTAGCTAGCTTGAGCAGCGGATGGTAAAACTGAAGGTGGGTTCAGGGAATCCAGGAGTTGGGCACGAAAGCATGAGCAAGAGGAAGAAAAGAAGGTCCAGATAAGGACACGGGACATGAATGTGGTCGTAGGGATGGCACGGCGTAGGCGACCATCGATAGTAAAAATAATGTGGAAGCCGAGTATATGGCCAATTCGATGGGAAGACCCCCATCAAGTCGCACAGAGATAGTGTAAATTTGAGACAACAAAGGGCAGTGGGGAGGTCAGAAGGGCTGATGCAGAGTGCATGTCGAGGGATGTTGGTGAGTGTGTACAGTAAGATCGGCAGATCCACGAAGAGAAAGGATTCTGGATTTTGTAGGCAGACCAATGACCGGACTTCCAAAATCCGGTAGGCCATGTGATTCAAACAGTTGGCGGAGATATGGATCAAAAGAGACTGTCGAAAGTGTCGAAACGGGAAAACGAAGTGCGACGTAAGCGAAGATAAGTCACCGCATTAACCAAATAATGGAGAAGAGATCATGGGAAGATCGCATCGAGTCGTACATGGATGAAAAGAAACCACATTGGGGGAAGGTAAAATCGGGGCTAGGCCGCCATGAGTTGCTACGTGACGGGGAGCATATTCATCCATGGGATTCTACCACTCAGCGACGCCGCTGCTGCGGCCCAAGATATGCAGCCCAAGGATCAGCCTCCTGCAGGGCCGAGCAACTCCACCCTCCGGTAGAATCACCCAACATGTACTGATAGCGTGGTGTTGTACATTACCTCATTGATCACGCCTTCAATGACGATGAATGGGCTGGTGCTGGGGTCGCACTCGCCGGGCCCTGTCTCGCCTGACCCTCCTCCGGCACCCCCGCCCCCTGCCCCCCATCCCCACCCCCACCCCCACCCCTCCTCCCTGACTCCGTCTGCGTTCGTTCCTCCGACCCTACCTCTCCTGGCCCTGCATGCCAACAGAACTTGTGCTCCTCGCCTCCTCGTCCTCGTCCTAGCGCCGTAGTCGTAGCAGAAGTCTTGTTGTCGCGCAAGTCTGTTGATTCAAATACCTTTCCAGAATATCAAATCCCCGAGCCGAAATACAAGGTTCCCAGTCCAGGCCAGTCCAGTGCAGAGCAGGGCGATCGCGATCGCAATCGCAATATGTAGGCAGCGGCTGCATGGAAGACTCAGGGCTACGGTAGACTAGAGCTGGAGAAAAGAAAGACTTTCTCGGAGAACAGTGGAATTAGGGCACGTACCGGGCCCCACATCATCCCCCGGGATTCCCCCACGCCATGAGTGAGGAAGAGAGAAAGAGTTGCAGGGCTTGTAAAGATGGGAACAATTTTAACCGCTCGCTCGTACGGTACACACACAACAGGGCCGAATCAATGAAAAAACCGGTCCGACATTTATTTCGTCTCTCGCGTACTTTACATCGTTTGGCTTGCTTCGGGCTCCTCTCACTTCCTTGGCTTTCAGTTTCGGCTATCACGAAAGATGGTGAGCGGAAGAAACCACTCGACTTCCTGTAACTGTTAGCCCCGGTAGGCATGAAAACAATGACGGCATCGATTTGCAATCCTCGGTGGAAACAAAAACAGATTTCCGACCTTGTTCCCACAGTGTGCAGTGATGACAAGGTTCTCTCTCACAAACCTCTCAACTCCCTCTAAATGATAGCTCTGGCGGGTCCTATAAACAAATTATGGAATCTAATCACAATCCATGGTAGAAACACATACAGACATCCAGGCTTGGTTTTCCCGTGTTGATGATCTGGTCACATGTTTCATAGATTCAGACAGATAATCAATTTCCAAAATGCTTCTACTGCTCCATCGTTTTGGGAGTTCCTGCCTTTTTTAACCTATATAAACTTCTACGACATTTCATTTCATCTCTCATTAGTACAATTGCGATTTCATCACCACTCACTCACCTTATGTATTTATTTATTGATATAGAAAATTTGTCCCGTACGAGGAGATAACCAAACCACCAAAACGAAATAGAACAAAGATAATTCGAGTTTACAAAACACCCAATGTCGGAGAATAAGGGAGTGGTAAGCAATTAGAAGTAAAACCTCGTACTAATAGCATGATTGGATACATGCAAGATTGTGATAATTAAGAAGTGCAATTTCACATTTATTCAATTCTGTTGTGACTCAACTTTATAAACAGAATTTCCTGCATAAATATTTTTTTTCATGAATTTCTTTTAAAAATTAAATAGATCAATTATCAAATCTTTAGACTAAAGTAGTAGCAATACAAACTTGAATAACCATTATATTATTATAAAATTTTGAGTTGCCATACTATTTCAAAATGCCATAATTTCAAATTTCAGTTTTGTTATAATTTTTTTTTTCAAAGAATTTGAAAGTGTATATATTTTTGAATGAAAATTTGTTACTATAAAAAAATACTTGATTTAATTTATAAATTTTACATGTTTCATAATTTCTAGTATGAACTCAAGTATTGGATGAATTCTAGTTAATCTAACTTATGCTAAGTAGGATTTAGGCTTAACCCTAGTTAGATTAGAAAAAAAATTTGTGCTATTCATTATATATAGTAGATGTGTCCGCTATACATGTGCATTTTTGTGTTCACGTGTATGTGAATGCATTTCACTAATGCTTTATAAATTTTCATGATTATGAAACTAAACAATTAGTATGAAATCATTGGCTTGTTTTGTCCTTCTTTATGCTATTTGAGATAGCCGTAATTCAGTTACAAGGTTTGATTTTGAATCTTTACAACTATGTGAATAAAAAAATGATATAGATAAAGATTTGACCTATAATAGAGGTAGATAATAGATATTTTAACCTAATGTTTGAAGCAAAGCAAATGAGCAGAAAAGGAGCTAATAGGATTAGAGTGTAAAAATTAGAAAAATTCAGTGTAAAAAAGTATTTTAACTATGTACATAATGACATTTAAAAATCATCTTTTGATTATTTTTTTTGGAAAATTAGATTTTGTAGCATTTATTGATGATTGTTCAAAACTTTGTGAATTTTTTCTTAAAAAAAGTATGTAAAATTTTTACAACTCTAAAAATCTGAATGCCCAAGTTAAGATTTGGACTAGACACAAGATGAGATTTCAACATGCAAATAATGGCAAGGAGTATACCACAAATAAACCTCCATCAATCATCTTACCACGGTTTTTATTTTACAACAAAACACTTGTTAGAAAGAGATTCAATTAGACAATGTTCAAAAATATGTGTAATATGGAGAATCCATTTGGTTTGTCATATAAATTTTGGATTGAAATTGTGAATATCGCATTGTATTTGATATATCTTTTTCATTTTGGTGCTATCAATTTCAAAACATATTTTGAATTGAATCACATATAGTTGGTTGAATGATTATAATCTTTTGAAAATTTTTAATTGTACGGTTTAACCACTCATAGCTAAGAAGAATGGAAATCAAGCTGGATCTCATATCCAAAAAATGTTATTATTTGTAATGTAAAATAATTGGTGAGAATGTTATAGGCTCTGAAAACCACAAGCATATAAGATTATTGTCAAGATTTTTTTAATGAATCTTGACCATTGAAAGAAGTAAATATGCTTCAATCTTCTTACAAGGATACTTACTTACAAGGATAAATCTTCATTTATTGATGTTGTTGAGTAGAAGATTAATTATTATGAATTTAATAATGTGATACAAAAAAGCTTCAAATTTATAAGACTTCGTTTAAATTTCTAAAATCTAAAATCAAATACTCAAATAAATTTCAAAAACACAAAATTTGAAATATGAATCCATTGTTAATGAGTTTCAAGTAATTGTATCAAATTGTCTTCTAAAAAATTATCAAATCAGATTAAAAGAGCTCATATAATATAAAAATTATGAGTTTAATTATTTATTTTTGAATATCATTATAATGAGACCGAAAAAAATGATGACTATGCTTTGATGTTGGAATAAAAAAAAAGCCTTGCTCTTATCAAAAATTTGAATAAGTCAATAATGCTTGGAGCATGAGATGCAATTGCTGATTGACAACAAGATGTGAAATTAGTGGAAAGTACAAAAAATTAATTTTTGATCAATGAAAAATAGATGTACAGTTCAAAAAATAAAAAATAACAAGTTGATTTTAAAAATGAAGGTAAAATTTTTTTTGTAAAGTGATGAAATTTTTGTATAGATTGAAACAAGCTCCTAAAAATGAGAAGCAAGGTTCCATAAATTCATCAAACTAATTTTTTTTTGACAAATTGTATTTGATACATGTATATATTTGATAAAGATGAATAATAAGATCTTTAATATCTTTATTCTAGTATGTGACATTTATTTTGGCAAAAAATCAATCTATCATCAAAAGATGCAAAAATAAACTGAAGTGTACATTGAAAATTAAAAAATGTGGACACGTTCAAGAGAATATTAGGAATGTGTATTCATAGTATTTTGCATAAAAAGACTATGTTTAAGTTAGAACATACATATTCAACGTGTTTAAGGAGTTTAACATGACAGTTCTAAAAGAGTTTGAATTTTTTTGGCATCACATTTCAAACTTTTTGCAACTCAATATTCGATCAATATCATTAAAAAGAAAAAATGCCATCATTTTTCTTTGACAAAGCATTTTGAAACCTTGTGTATTTGATGGACTAGATTTGTTATAGCTAAAATTACAATCAAGTGAAATGTTACATGAAAAAAAGTAATGTGCATTGAAAATTTGTGAAATAGATTCACAAAATAAAGATGATGATATTTTGTTTAATAATTTATTAGATAATGCCAAATTGTTGTTATGCTATCTTGCTATAAAAATAAATTCAACAAGTTAGTCTAAAAGTGCACAAGAATCTATGTTGTGTGATCTGTATTAGCAAACATATTTTCATTACTCTCTAAATAGTACTAGCTTCTTTTATATTGGAGAACAATAAGTTAGTTGATGCAGTAGCAGTACTCAAATGTTCTTGTCATTAGATGTATGTATTAATAGTGAGGTGTTTTCTTACTAGATGATTTTAATGTTTTACATGCTTTAACAAAATTTTTCATTGCACATCTTTTCAGATCAACTCTTGCTTTTCTACGTTTTTTTGTCCTTACACATGCTGACATAATACTTTGATACTTTTGATTCTATTTGGCTTTCCTTTGTATAACAATATAAAGATATTTTTTAAATTATTGAATTATTTTGTTTTAAATAAATATATATGAAAAATTTACGCCTAAGATATTTCTTATCGTTGAATTTAATTCAATTCTTTGTAATATTCAGTGCTTAAATAAATAATTAAATTGCAGTTCCATACATCAAGAATTGTCCATAGTTCTTGAGTATAAAACTTGGTCTCTATCCAAATTGGGACATCATAAAGAGCAGAAAATATACATATTTTTGCATACCCCTTTGAGATGTAATAATTACAAAGTCAAATGCCAACACTTCAACAGAAAGATTGTCATGTCATAGAGTAAAAGAAAGTGCAGATCAGCGAATGATAAAAGAAAGATTTCCCTACAACGTTTGAACCAAGTTTGAAAAGCCTGTGGAACATAATTCACATGTTACTTGGAGATGCATATTTTCTTGAGTTCTTGAGTATTAATATATAAAATAAATCGATAAGCCCGTGGGACCCAAAGGTCAAAAGGCTGATAAACACATAACAAGTCATTCATTCCCTGACCTGTAAAAAGATCCTGAAGACATATATATACTCATGAGTACACTCATGTATGGACTTATTTTTGTACTGATCTGGGAAGAAGAAGAGCTTTGATAATAGCGTACAAGGATCTCATAGTGCCTCTAAACTGAAGCAAAATCAAAGGATGTCAATGAACAAATTCTCTACAACGTCGGAACAAAGCTTTTCAAACTTTGTTCCGACGTACCACTGGCTTTTCAAACAAAGTTTGAAAAGCCAGTGGTACGTAGAAACACATGTCACGAATAAGGGGAGTTATGACCGTAGCGATGACTGAAGGTAACTTTTCTTTCCAAGAGGAAATGTAAAGTTTTCTTCCAAGAGGAAGTTTTACAAGACCATCGATCCATTCAACAACCGCGCAACATGGTTTCCAGTGCAAATCATCAATGGTTAGCCCTGATGATTAGTATATGCTCGAAGTAACTCGCTTTGCAACATGTTGTTTCTCTCGTTTAATCTCGAGTAAGTAACTGAAATACAGCAAGGGAAAACATTATTACAACTCTGGCTCCTTGCTCTAGCCTGGAGAGTAGGGGGAGATAGAGGAAGGAGAGCAAATAACGTTTAGGAAGGAGAGCACATAACGTATAGAGCGGGGAGAACGATCCCGGCGAAAGGTCTACGCCTTATCTTCTCGCAGAGAAGAAAGGCAGCGAGTCGCTCATCTCGGGCTTAAAAGTCGCGGGTCTTGCGTTGGGATGCATAATGACATAGGAGGTGCTTTGAATGGTGTATAAGTTTTGGCATGCACTGCATGTGCATTGCCGTGACTCTTTTATTTCCTGCCTGCCGTCTAAGGTCGATGAGGAACAGCTTTTCATGCAGAGGCAAATTTCGATCATCCTTTGACACCTGGCCGCTTGCAAACTACTTCCCGTAGCTATGAACAATCACAGTCTGACACATGGTCTAAGTGATCTTGCTCTGTGAAGACTTACGGCATCAGTGGTTGACACCAGGATCACAGAACGTAGTTCTTCGCGCAGCTATGAATCATTCGGCGACACCTGGCTGCTTCGAAACTTGTTCTGTGACAAAACAAGCTCGAACCGACACTTGGCGCCAAGAAGACTCCATCGTGTTGTTGCATGATTCTGTCTAGGAAGCTCATAAAGCTTTGGAAACAGCTTTTGGATTTGCTCTAGCAGCTGCTGCAGAGCCAGCATGTTCAGATTGGCCAGACGGGTACACTGTAGTTCAGGGCCTCAGGCCCTGAACTACAGTCTCACCCTCCACGACTTTCCAGGATTGGACAGATAAGGAGAGATCGATGAGATATAGCTGCTGACTAACAGTCCAAGATCAGGCGTGCAAGAGATTCGTGAGCGATCCTTTCTATATTTAATGGCCAGTTCCGGGCTTGTGAAGCCCGGAAAGAGGAATATGTGTCACAAAGAAATACTTCTCGCTGCCAGATTCGCTCCCATCTAGCCCTAAGGCCCCAACAACTTTGGGCAGTCAACCGTACTGCCCTGCTCAGCGCGGCGCAGCGGAAAGAAACCGGACGACTGGGCTAATTCTTTTCAGACTCGTGTTGCTGACGATATCGGGCCTAGTGGCCAGACCCCGGTCCCCATTCTCCAGAGCGCAGGCGCCCGGGCCCCGGCGCCGGGCGTACTGTGCTCGGGGTATAAATCACAAGACCCACTTCTTCACCGGGAGACCAAAGGTTACACCTTCAGCTCTGCTGTGACCGATGCGTGTCACCGGATAGGATCTGGGTACAAGCATGACCGGAGCCCCCACCCCAGGGCCGAGATCTGGCCCTGCTGTCCATTGCGCTGCCAACTTGTCACCCAGCAAGGGGCGTTTCCCGGCCGTCGCCACTCCGGGCTCTCTCCTTAGTCTACACCCCGGCTGGCGGGCTGGCTGCGGGTTAGATCTTTGCTCAGATGGTCAGGTCTCCATTCTTTTGTCTTTAGTGTGTTTCCACCCTCCCCCGGCCCTCGATTCGAACGTCGCTGCTTGCTAAGGTGACACGAGTTTTATTGCGGCGTTGACAATTGTCGTTGCAATCTGCCGCTTTCCAGTTCACTTCTTCCATATTTTCATGTCTTCTTTTACGTCTTCCGAGGCCCTTTCCAATGTCAGGTACATTATGCAGCACCTGCGGATTTCCCACAAGCTCTTGCATGCGGATTGTAATCCGAATCTTGGGGGGAGTATTCCCCACATGCTGCAGTAGTCAGCTGCCTGCAAACTTGCCTTGATCCAAGGACTCACGTAGTAAAACGGAGCAAAGCTACATTCGCGTAGAATATGATCAGAGCCAGCGGGTGTTGCTGCATCATTTTGGACAGTGGTCAGGCTAGTGATGTTCCAACCTGAAGAAGAACCGGAGTGATGTGCGGAAAAATCTTCACCAATCATTTCACTTCACTTGAGAAAATGTCTTGATAACCATCGTCGTCCATCCAACTTTCCGACTCAGGTTACACTCGGCTGAGTGTAGCTGAGGACAACCAACGTACTGACTCCGACCTCTCAATCTTCACTCCTACACTAATTGTCGAAGTTGATCTGAACATGCTATATCTCTACTGCTTGAGGAATCCAGCAACCTGGGACCCTGCGTCTCTGCATCGTGCTCAATGCCAGATAGTTGCACAGATAAGACTTTTGTTGCTGCGATGCTGACAATAATCCTAGAGGACAAAAGCTCATCATGTGGATATCATGAAACCATATACCAAACTCAATCTTTCTTGATTATATACCAAGTCAAAACGAGTATATTCATGCATATGCATCCGCACCAGACATGTACAATCGACTATATAAGCAAATGGATACCCATCATACGTTCAAAAGTAAGAAATATGAGACCAACGGGCCCTTCGTATTATACACAAAATCGACATTTTTAGTTACATGGATTAAAGTTCTGTCTTTGTTATCTCCTGAGCTAGCCAAGTGCCGTTGGATTTTACAAGGCCGCGCTTACCGATCAGACTGAAACCAAAATAGCCTGTGCCCCTGACAAATAAACTTAACAATATCACTCTCGTCATCAAAGAACCGCAATCATGGATACACACTCTTTGACAACATGCCTGGGGGCTAAAATCGCTCATCCTGTTTCTAGTTATGCATTTTCTAAAAGCATTGCGTATCCTTCGACTGCCTCAACATTTTAGGAGGTTGGAAAGAGAAGACGGAAAAGAGGGCGGGTGAGAGAGAGGTAAGGGAAATAAAAAATTGAAGGGCTACAGCCTCTCCAGCATAGATCTTCAAATAACTCAATAGAACAAACTCTGAAGTGAGAAAAGGCCAAGACGCCTCCTCCCTGCACCTGCCAGATGCAGAAAAACTCTTTCAGAGGACTGATTGCACTGAGAGTTTAAAGATGATGATCCAAAGCTAGAACAAAAGTTACAATTGTAATGTGATGTGTAAACATTGGTGGCCAAGAGTTCAGTTCAAGCTTACCTTCCTCACACCTCCGACAGCACTTGTAGATTGTGGGAGTTCCCATCACAATTTACATAGTCGATCCGAACATGTGCAGATCTTCCAAGTGACCAGATTCTGTTGAAGCAGGCAGAACGGAAACAGGATTTTAGCCGAAGTGCAATATTTTGAACCACCTGGAGCTGATGAGAAGAGAGGTTCTCTACTACAGACTACTACAGGCAAATGATAAGGGGGGACAGTGCTTGAGAAACGACATTCTACGCAAGATGTGTTAACCATATGGCAGTCATTCTGTTTTCCAACACCCCAAATCATCCCGACGGTCAAAATTCACATATCCACCCATCGGTCAGCTTTTACATAGTTCGGTTGAGCCGCGTTTCTCCAATTATGAATTCTGTACTTCTGTATGTATGTTACATATAATGCCCTTCATGCAAAGACGGGCATTTTATCTCAAAGATTCAAATTCGTGATGGAAATGGATCTACAAAAAGGGAAGGACAGCTTTACAGGACATACCGAACACACTGCTATACATCGTCACTACCCGCTCTTCCAAGCCCCAAATGCAGATCGACAGAATTGTCACATCCTCCATGTTGAACCTGCTGCGGTTGCTGCTGTTGCGGGGACTGATGGTACTGATACTCTACCCTACTTTCGACTGGCTGTCCACCCGATTCGCCAGACATAGGTTGGTGTAGGCGCAAGGGAGGACCAGTTTGTAAAAACGTTTTCGTTGATGTTGGTCCAGAGAAGGGAAGTGTCTTGAAGGAAAGAGGCCTATTGTTTGCCGGCGGTGCGGCAGCACGAGAACTATCTTCCATGCTTTGCTTCGGTTGCATTTGAGCTATCATCGGTTGCGGTTGCATCGTGGGAGCCTCGGGATAAACCACGTCCGAATAGATGGGAGAGAACATTGGAGGACCGGCAGTTGGAAAGAAGTGGCCTCCAAACTGAGGAGTGGGAGAAGAGTAGAAAACCCACGAAGTAGGGGGTGGATTTTGCGGTACAGAACCGAGCACATTCATTGACGGCACGTTTCTGGGAGGGAAGCCCAACGGATTTTGAGGGTAGTGTGGGAAGTAGGCAGGTTGATGAGGGAGAGGATGTATCATAGCAATGCGTTGCGGTGCAGGCTGATGGTGACCACCGGGGCTAACCATTCCCCCTTCTTCGACTGCATGGCGCGCAGAGTGAGGGACCAAGCGCGACCCCGGGGCGAGCCTGTGATGCATGTGTGGCATAGGATAGAACTGTCTGCTCGATGCTTTGCTATGGTTCACGGCGGCTCTGCTCGCTTGAATCTGAGCCCTTTTGGCCTGCTGCCTCTCCCTCTTGTGCGCGTTCTGGTGCCCGCCCAGAGCTTGCGAGCTGGCGAATTCCCTGAAGCAATATTGACACTCGTACTTCCTATTCTCCCCAGCCGAAAACCCCGAACATCCGCTAGCCTGCTCTACCTTAGTATCCGATCTACCATCCTCTACATCACCGCCGGCCCCGCTAGGATCAGACTTAATCTCCTCGATGGTTTCCTCTTCCTCTTGGAATCCGACCGACTTCTCCTTATCGTCCACGGGATCCTCGTCCTTACCACTGCGAGCTTGCTCGGCCAGACGGTAAGCCCACTTCTGGCTCGCCTGCACTCGCCCATCCGGAGAGTCTCGCTCCGAGAACACCGTCTCCTCGCCTCGACCGGCCGGGGACGAGGTGGGAGTGACTTCTATGCCGAAGAGCTTCACCGCCTTCTCGCGGCAGGCACCGCCCGGCCTCGTCCCTCCGCCCCAGTCTTCGCTGGAGCTCGGATGGCTGGTTTCCGAGCTCTGGTCTCGACCGAACCCATGGACCGCATAGGGGCCTCCTCCTCCGCTGCCAGCTCGCTCGTCCGCGTCGCGGTCGTAGGACGAGCTGGGTGCACCCACCGGCAAATCGGCTCTGGGTTTGGCCTCGTTCTTGCGGTGGAAGAAGCTGGAGCTGGAGGCGGGCGACTGCAGATCCGCGTAATTGTGACGAATTTTGGATTCCCCAGCGCCTCCTCGGAGAGCTCCCTCGCCGCTCTCGCCTTCCTCTAGATTGACAGTCAGTCTTGCATTTCCTGCGTGAAAGCGAGAGCTGCTAGCTACTTTCTGAGAATGACCGGGAGTGTTCCTCTTGCCCAGCTCCAAACCGGCCTCATTCTCGTCGTTGGACAGCTCAGAATGACAGGCGACGTCCTCCGAGCGCGAGGAGCTCCGATCGAAATGAATCGACGAGTCCATCCCCGACTGCACTTCGTCGTGACCGCGCGCATACTCTTCGGAAGCGCCCGGCGAGTGAGAGCCCCTCTTGTTCGACCCTTTCTTCCGCGTGTTTCCCACATCAGCGCTGACGACGTCAGTGGACATTCTATCTAAGTCGAGGTCGAGTCTGTTGACATCGTCTCGATCAGAATAGTCTCCGGCGTCCTCAATATCTTCCGATTCCCGGTGCCTCTTCGATATGGCACTTATCCTCGCAGATCCGTCGCTGGCAGCGCAGGCAGAAATCTCATCACTGCTCTTTTCGTCGTAACAACCTACCTGCGTGCTGGATACGTAGAGGTAAACATCGAGGGTACTCCTCGTCATTATAAACGCGAGACAAATCCTCTGGCTGCAAGCTCATCACAATTTTCGCTACCTCGTGTGCCTCGGTATCGGACTCCGATTTGATGTTTCTTTTTTCCCCTGGCCCCCAATTATGCCGTCAAATGCACTTTACCATCCTCCGTGTCTGCATCCACTCCGGCGCCCTGACTCTGTGGCCACTCTGTCTGCAAAAATTAGCTATGTGCACGATTAGCTATGGGCCGACGGAGCTGCCGAGCGAGCAACCCGACACGCCCGAGAAGGTGACTAGACGGATCTGAAGATGCAGCCAATTCTTCCTGCGAAGTTCCCCACGGTCGCTCACCGCTGCAGCACCCTTCACCGCTTTCCAGAAACCACTAAGTTTGCCATGCTGAACTCAAATACTCAGGTCGACCGACCTCGACCTCCACCATTAGGCGCAGAACTCCGCCGAGGAGCCCATCTGGGTGGGGCCATAACTGGCGCAGCGTCGAACCTCCAAACCCCGAAACCCGACAGCTCGCTATTCCAACCCTACTTAGAACGCGACATCCACCACCGCGAGCACTCTTAACACTCGTCGGACGAGAGCTCACTCGCCCTCGTTGATCCGTGGAGGCCAGCCACCGCCTCCGCTCGCGCCTCGTCCTCTAGCCAGAAAAACTCACAAACTGTCGCTCGCAAGTTTCGTTCCCGGGAGAGTGGGGAGGGAAGATCGAACGAAGGACTGACAAGCGAACGAACGCCGGGTGCGAGGCAGCGAATTTGTGTGTATGCAGCGCGCGGAGCAGCAGCAGCGAGGGAAGAACGAACGCGAGTGAGAGTGCAGTGCACAAAACTTCTCCCAGGCTGTAGGGGAGCTAGGGCCTTCTTTCGACCAGCGGGCAGAGAAACAGCCATGGAACAGCAGAAAGCAGTACTTATGCTTTTGGCCCGGTGAGTGAGGATGTGACAAAGGTCCCGATCGCTGGCACTACGGGGCACTCCCTACTCGGGCTTGGCGACGGCTGTCTCGGTCGCTGCTTAATATTAAGGTAATGACACATTAAGTTGGAGTTTTCGGAAAAAAATTCTCCGCAAACCCTTGCCATCCGTCAAATGGCAATCAGATAGATTTTCTGATTCGGTGCAAGCAAGGGGTGTGGGTAATCACTTAACAATGTTAAGTGATTACTGCGGGACATGTTAAGTTAACATGTCCCGCAGTGCACATCTTGAAACGCCTCGTGTGAAGTAAGGCGCAACGGGCGGCGCGATGTGGCAATAGATTTTAAGAACCCGACAGCCTGCGTGTCTGCCAGGCCCCACCTCCCGAACGAACGCCCTTCATCCCAGAGTTCGGTCCACACTCCCTGACGTCTCAACCGGCTTCCTCGGTCTCTCTTTGTCGTGATTATGTCTCTACCTCGTCGCCAAAATTTTCATCGACGCGTGCGTCGATCCGGCTCGATCTCACGGTTGGATGACGGGCTGGGCGACCGTCGCCAAATCCTGAGACGCAGGCCTCCAGAAATCTGGTGGGTCCTCGCTGCGTCAGGGCCGCGCACCGTCGATTCGCCCGTATCCGATGGCCTCTGGGCCCCTCTGGGTCAAGCTGCACAGTTAGAGTCGTGGACTCACAGTCGATGGGCGCTGGACCACTTGCAGCGATCCAATTGCGAGCGATCTCGTGTCAGTTCGCCTCACCGCCACAGCCTCCCGGCCACAGACGGGCGTTCCTATTCGTCCCTGTAGGTTGACACCCGACGTCGCTCATGAGGGATCGCGACTCGAGTTGTGACAGGTCAAAGCAGACCATTTGACCGCCCTGTTGCCCAGTCAAAATCGTAAACCCACCCCCTTGGGTTGTACGCATGAAAACACCACGTACAGTACAGTTCGACCTCTACGAAAACTTCCCTCCACGCTAACTTCACTTGCGATACGGAGAGATTGTTTCTGGTCGATGTCTGTCGGCGCGTCTGTTCCTTCTCTCTTCACCCTGAACAGCATCCAGCTAGAATTTGGGCAAAATCTTGTACAGAATATAGAAATGTGCGGTGGATTTTGCCCGTCGGTAAATCCCAGGCTCTAGAAGTATCTCATCAGCTTTAATAAAATAGTCTGTCACCTTTCTGATAGTACGACAAATTGGGGTCCTTTTTACTACGTCGTGTTACTTCTCTCACCCGCCAGATTCCGGTCTAACACCACCGGGATCCCGGTTATGTTAGACCGACGTCTTAACGGATCGGCTCCTTCAAACTCTTTTCCTTTTGTTTACGTCCGGTCTAACAAGTTTCCCAGTGGTACGTACCGTTTGAATCCCAGTTCGAAACTAAATTCTGTTCGATCACTGCGCACTATGCCCAATGCTTTGATTAGCCTTTTTTTGGGGGAGAAGGCGTTGATGCCAGGCTTAAGCTGTAACGTTTGCTGAGCAATGTCGTAACGAAGATTCGTCTTTAATCTTTTATTTTGGCTGTTCTCCCACTTACATTTCATTTATTATATCGATACGGAATGCAAATTTTGTGAAATTGAATCAATTCTATGGGACAAAGGATTACTAATTGAGTCCTTTCGTCGAGGAAAAAAACCAAAAATTGAGGAGTTCAATTCTCTTAAAATGTCATGTACTTCAACGAAACAGTTTCCAGTAACCAGCTGAGTTCTTTTTCGAGGGCTTCTTTCCAACGAAAAGAAGATGATAAAGCTGCTGTCCTGCTCGGATAACGCACAATCAGGAAAGAATATTCGTCTTCGACTCAGCATAACGATTTTGGAAGGGCTTTTTTGAAATTTGGAATTGCATTTCTGAAACGTTGTTGAAGATGAACGGACTCGTTGGCGTAGTCCCTTCTTGATACCTCCCTTCGAAAGAAGAGGAATAAAGCTGCAACTTGCTCGGACGAGGCAAAACGAAGGCTACTTCTTTGATCTCGACAGACATAAGCCAAACGGATAATTTCTTCCCCTGGGAGTAATGTCGTACGGAATAGGGATGGAGGGATTTAAATAGATTCAGCGACCTTGGCAAAGTCGGATCTCAACAAGTCAACAGAACATGAGAGGTCATGGCACTTGGATGGTCTCCATGAGGAGAGATTAACAATCCCTTGTCGTGGGTTTGCCGGCAACTGCGACCTGTTCTGCTTTAGCTCGAGACCGTGACACGAGATGAGCACCATCAAAGCAGCTCCGGAGGAGCCCCATGGTACAAAAACACACCGAAGGACTTTTCAGGACTCGTTTCTCACCTCGTCAGACTTTAACAGAACGCAAGAAGTTAATCCCGGCGGTGAAGATTGTCGGGGAAGATTTTCGCAGAGTCCACACGGCATCAGTCAATTGAAGCAAGTGATCCTACGAGCTGCAACGAGCCTCGAATTGACTGAGGTCCGGAGAAATTCACCCGGGCTGTTGGGGGTCCACTGGGTAAGAAAAACCTCGCCCATACCCCTTTCAACATCGATATGCATGTTCCAATTGTAACAGCCGCGTGTACATGAGCCGATTGATTCTCTACCAAATTGGCGAGCTGCCCGTCGAATGATGACGTGGTCTGGCCAGCATGGCGACGATGGAAACCCAAGGGTGACGGGCAGATGAAGATTTAGTGGCTTGTAATTGGCGGAGAAGATCGAGGTAACTTCTAGTGCAGCAGGTGCTTGCCATGCGAAACTCAACTCGGGCTCCACTCACGTGACGACAGGGTTTATCAGGGACTCGTTCTGTCACGCCGCTTTGCATGGTCGACGTGGCATGTCCCTTTCGAACCTTCATCTTTTTGTCCATGCCGACAAACTAGTCCTCATCTCCCCATCTTTCTACTCACTTTCAGTACAGTACTGTACTTACTACACTGTACCTCGACTCACGACCGCAACCCCTCACTGAACCCCCTCCTGCAAATTCTTGTCATAAACCACCGTCACAATATACTTCGTACGAGGTACATGCTGCTGACTCAACATTGGTTGTGACCCTCGACTGGTTGGGTACTGTCCTTATCCCACAGCCCTCTTTCTCCTTTTGCATTCTTACACCCGTCTCTACAAGCCCCTCGTCCCCGGAAGCATAGGAATCGTCCAACTGCGACGGAACCTTAGTCTACTTGGAGACATGGATATACTGTATCCCTCATTAAGTGTGACATCCGATACGTGGTTACCAGAGGATTTTCCGCTCGACATGTCACACTCGATATGCCCGGCCCGGGCGTCGCTTTGAGAATCAACAGACATCAAGTATGGATTGATCGAGTGCTCATCAAAGGCAGCAGAGATTCCCCATTAAGGCCGCTACACTGGAGCGAGACGAAGTGTTCTGCTTTTCAGAAAGTGTAGACATGCTTCTCCACAGTCATGGACAGAAGATTCAAGCTCGGAAATATATTGCGCAATGTGCTCAAATGCAGCATGGATAACTGTTCATTTTATATTACTCTATTTGAACTAGTCCTCCCCCTCCACGGGCTCGTTAGTGGAATGTATGATCTTTCTCGAAAATCAAGCCCGCGACAAGTCATTTAAAAATGGAAGATTATATTTGACAGCTTCAAGCCTCCGGTGTTGAATACTCCTAGAATTGTCTAAACTAATCATGAAATGCATCATTTGAGAATGTGCGGTAATGAGCGAGGAGATCCTCTGCCTGAGTTGGTTTAACGATCACACTCCTCGTCCAAGCCATCTATATAGTTACTTTGTTACTGCGAGTACTTATTACTTTCTGCCTCTATTTCAATTCTGCCTCTATTACTTTGTTTGAATTAACTATGATTAACCCGGTACAAACATGTCAGCTGACATCTGAACGGATTATTCATCCAATTCAAACAGATGTTTCTGATTATATATCGTAACAACTATATATGAATCTATTATCTTGTGAAATGAATATTGTGTGCTGGATGCTCTCACCACGTTTCCAGTCCATATTATTAACTAATTATTCTCCACATAGACCATGTTCCGATCCGATCTGTATATACTACACGCGGTTTGCAGATAAGCAATAATCAAAGGGTTTATACGTATTTGAGTATTTTGAGCAGATTTGGAAAAAAAAATACACACATTTGTTCTTTGTGTAGCCACTATTTTTGGGTTAGCAATCTAAACTGTAACACTTCAGATCTAATAATACAGAAGAGTGAGAGTCAAAGCATCTCACTATAAAACACTATGAGCCAAAAGTTGAAGGTTTGATTGGAGAAGATTCCTTGTTTCAAACACTTTAACCCTCTATGAATAGAGTAAAACCCTAAAGTTGCCATATGTCAACCGCTGATGTGTAATACTGCCAGGATAGATATCACTCACCTTAACAGATCATAACTACGTATTTTGAATATATCAACATCTCCCCTTAAGCTCAAATCCAGAGAAACTTGTTATACTTCTTAAACTCCTAGATTATGTACACTTGACTGAATAAAAAAGTTGTTCTTGGACGAGGCTTTTCTGCAAGAATGAGCAATTTGATGTGAGCAGGTAATTAAATACCAACTTTTTGTCAAGGATTTTTTTAGTAAGTATGATCTTTATTGTACGTCCTCGTAGAAACACAAACGTTCCCACTCTAAGAAAATATAATGGCGAACCCATAGCATCGAGCAGTTGTTGTAACGATGTACTGTTGCATGCTGTACTCACAACTCTTCTCTACTCCACCTTTTTCATCAGAGTACTCCTTCTCTACAGATGATATAGTCCACTAGTTGTTGTAACAATGCCGCTTTGCATGTTGTACTTGCAACTCTTCTATACTCAACCTCTTTCATCCGTGTAAGTCATCTCTGCAGACGACATAGCTATTGAATTTTATTGCTTTGTTGCTCATCAACAACTACATTCCCGAAATACGATATGCCAAGATTTATAACAGTATCTTGTTGCCCAATAAAAATTTGTTTACTCACGTGGAAAAGGTATCTACGTAGCCAAAATAAAGGACAGTTGACATTGTATCAGTGACACTTTCATAAAATGATGTTCAGAATATCATTTTCCTGTATACAAGAAGAAAATTTAAATTTAGATTTAAAATCTCACTAAAAATACTCCAGTTTTTTTAAATGGTAAATGGTTGTGTTTATTTAATAAATATTAAATCTAAGATATTTAAAAACTTATCCTATAATTATTTCGAATTTCATTTTATAATCACGGTGTGAACACATTACATTTCAAAATGTAGTTAATGAAGAAGAAATGCCTAAATATGCAATATTCTTGTAAACTTGTACCTAAAACAACAACTGTCAATTCTTGCAAACCTGATGATATTTGTCTATTGCATTATTGAACATGTAGTCGACTGTAATCTTGTGTTGAAATTCTTTCATGTCACCATATTAAATTGCATTTAAAATACTGAACAAGGTTATAATTTTGAAAAAATCTGAGAATGATTTTTCACTTGAACATTTATTTTAAAAAAAACATAAAATTGAACAGTCAAGTATGATTTTAATTATGTTATAATTTCACATATTTTCTAAGTTCAATTTTATTTTCATATGTCAAGATAAAAAAGAAGATTTTTATAAATTAAATGTTCATGTAATTTCAATCATAGTTTCTCCATTGTTGTGTATTATGAAAATAAACATAAATTATAAAGAAAAAATGATTTTTCTCATAATTCTTAATACTTTACCGATTTTGGCATATGAAGAGTAAGATAAAATACTCCACTCAAAAAATCATTAGTTAAAAATGTATTTAAAAAAATATTATACCCAATATCAAAAATCGATTTCAAAACCATCAAAATTTAAGATTAATATTTTATATGTTCAAATGTATATATTTTTAGTTTCTGGTTTTTTATTTAAATAATTTGAAATAATAAAAATTTTACTTTACGTAAATAATTATCATTTAAAAAATATCTTTACATAATATTCTAAATTAATTTATAATCTGATGGACGATGAATAAAATACACATGAAAAATATGTAGGTGTGGAAAAATTGTAATAACATTGAAACTCAAATAAATTTTCTTCAATTTTATAATAACTAAATAGAATAACTGAATTTTAAATATATAACCTGAAATTTGAGTAATTTATTTGCTATTAAATTTCCAGAAATTTTTTTCAAGAAATTTATCATATGTTAAAATATCAGTTATTTGTTTTCTTCAATATACGTAGGACTAGCGGCAGCAAATTAATTGGAAAAAAAGTTAGCAATTTTTATTATATAATATACATCAACGGTAATAACAAAGTCATAGCAGATCTTTCATCTAATAAAGATGGCCTAATCTTGTTTATTGAGTTCGTGGTGATTTAGTAAATGTACATACTACGCATATGAAGAAACATAACCAAAAGTGATTGATTTCATGTGATTTTTATCAGCATATGTTAATAAAAGATGATTTAAATTATATGATCCGCTAGCTGAACATATTATATTCTTTCTCTCTTTGAAATAATCCAAAGTATGAAATTTAGGATTAAAGAATACCAGGACTTTTATGGTACAACACAAAACCCGTGACGCAGTTGGAGTGTAATTATGCTAATAATACGCATGAGTCATGGTCACGCTACTTAAGATAATATGGTAAGATAAAGGCATGGATCAATTCCTCTTAATATAGAGGATATGAGCTTTAATGAATATAATTTCTGGTGCTGTACATGAGTTACTTGACTACCCCAGAACATGGGGGTGATGTTGTGGACAGCAGGCCAAAATGTAGGGCTGACTCTCATTGTACAAGTTAGAACTTAAAATTTTGTTGGATAAGGGCCCATTGCAAACTGTGTTATGGCTTATTATCAACATGTGCAGTTTCATTACTTTGGATAGAAAGCAATGAAACCTTCTAATTTCGAAACCACTCACTCTTTTATCATGATGAGCAGACCATTGTCTTAGCAGGTGGTAGTGTACTCAAATCATACGCTTGTAGGAGATCCATTGAAGTCACTCACTCTTTTTCTCACGATGAGCAGACCATTGTCTTAGCAGGTGGTAGTGTACTCAAATAATACACTTGTAGGAGATCTATTGAAGTAGGAAAGGCGTTGGCCAGCAGCTCCAAAGACCAGAAGCTTGAGAGTGGTTACCAGAGAGATTATAATGAAATTTTATCTCACAGAAGTTCTTTATTTGAGATCAAATCAGTGATAAATTAGTTGGAACAGAATCCAGCATGATCAGCAAAGGTCATCAGTTATCAACTTGCAAAGCCTATCAAATCTGTACACACACATCCGGTGATTGACGGTTGAAGCGTGCAATAAGTACGGTAGCATATGATAATTAGTACAAAATCATGATAACTTTTCCTAATGATTTCGAGGGATTTAAGAACCAGGATCCGGCAGCATTTTCTCCTTCATGAGAGAAACTGTATAGCGAGGAGTGAACAAAAGAAGAAGGAATTAAACTGCGCATGGAACCACCAAGGTCAGGCAGGGTGGTCGGTCGCCGATGACGAGGATTTGTTCATGCGCTGTCTGAGCTGGGTCGAACATGTACGGTGTCGAATGTGGATCCATGGGTGGAACGGCATCAGTGTCAGCAGGGCCGAGGGCCCAGAGTTCGATGCCGATGGATTTGGCTGACAGCAGCTCCGGTTTCCGCTGGAATAGTGGAGTGACGTTCGGAGAGAAATGATTAAGCAATCAATCTGGTCTGTCAATGTGTTGTTCGAACGGGTGAAGCACGTTGCCTGCATATCGGCATTGTGCTGTGTCAAGTGGATTGGAGTCCTTCGAGATTGATTAGATGAATCTGGTAAGAGGGACAAGATCGTAAGCTGTGAATCATCGCGAGGAGACCGGGGAGTGGAAACTGGTGACGGGTTGTGTCCTGGGTTCGGTCGGGTTAGTCGGGCTGGGCCGATGGATTGGAAGAAGCCTGGTTCCGGTAGTAAGTACGGGCTGCAGCTGAAGATTGCAACCCCGGCAGCCAAGAAGCCTCTGCTCAATAAGTCGCTGCCTTTTTCTTTGGACGACAGTAGCACGCAGAATGAGTACAGTGTCGAGGATGACATTGCTCGTCAGGCCAAGAAAAAGCAATTCGCTCGAGAGGTATGCGAAATATGAATGTCCCAGCTTAGTAACATAAATTAGTCTCAGAACATTTCAATTACAGTTCTTATGTTCACGTTCGAGAAAATAGGTACATTTAGGTGCTTGATCTACATGGTGCTAGCACTTGCCTTGCGATCCTTGAGCTTCATTCTTCAATGTTGCTCTCACATGGTTTGACTTATCTCATTTTTGATAGACTGCGTTTTTTGTGCATTGAAGATTTCTTCTTGTCCAGAATGTGCACGGATGCCTGAACTGTAATCTGCAATTTGTTCCCTCCCCATATCTAAGCTCTTGCTTATGGGTGAAGTCTGAGGTCGTGGACATTGAGCACAGAACCCTAACCCTAATGTTCCAGTCGGTTACCTGGCTTAATAGTTTTTGGAATCAGATCAGAATTTCAGGAGCTGATATCCAGGTTGAAATTCCTGGAGATAATACCATGTAATTGACAAACATTGCACCGGATCAGGTGGAGCTGCAACACAAATTGGCTCTGGAGCAAGATGCCAACGCATTTGATTATGATGGCATTTACGATGAAATGAAGGGGAAACAAGCGCAACCTATTCGGGAAGATCGCGCAAAACGTGAGGTGATTGTTGTTGTCCATCATCGGCCGTCGAATTCTGCATCTGTTGGATATCCATCGGCGTACTTTGACCTATGTTGATGATCAAGTCTGTTTTTATCTTCCTCGTTCGATTGTTGTCGCCCACTGTGGTTTTCTGCTCGCAGAAGTCATGTGTATGGTGGAAAGTTTTTCACTAGTAATTTCTATCAAGGTTGAACTTGTGGGAGGACAAATTCCAAGTTTCAATACTAGTAATTCTGCAGCCATTGATCTGGGTTTTACGATCGTTGTGCAGCCTAAGTACATAGGTAAACTCCTGGAACAAGCCAAACTCCGCGCTGTGGAGCATGACATTGCCTTCGAACGCAATCTTGCAAAAGAGCGAGCGAAGGAGGATCACCTTTTTCCCGACAAGGAGAAGTTTGTCACAAAAGCCTACAAGCAGAAGCTTATCGAACAAGGCAAGTGGTTGGATGAAGACCGGCTGAAGGAGATAAAAGAACAAGCAGAAGAGGTACGTGGTTTCAAGCCCCCTAGACGTTACGCGTGCGTGGTTTGAATCCCCAAATCCAGCCTTACGACGAAGCCTAGCGAGAGAGTTCCCGGTGCTGTCTTAACGCACTCACTAGTCGGTCGAGTTCGTGACGCCATGTCGTCCATGCGAGAGCCAGAAATTGCATCGTTCTGACAGCGAGGAGCACCTGCACAATGGGACTTTTCAATCATTTTCGAAACCCAATTTTTGTAAATTATTCTCAACCATGTATAAAAAGTAGATCACGAGAATGATGAAGTCAATGGTGGCCAAGGCAGATGATACGACTTTATTCTTCGCCAGCGTTACTCGCACGATGTCATGGTGATGCAACTTCATGGGGAGGATTTCCCTTCCAAAAGTAGAGCATCCGTAACCGTATGTCTTCGCAGGTTACGAAGAAAGGAGACATGGGCGATTTTTATCGCAACCTGCTGAGCAAGAACGTGGCGTACGGCGCCAAGGAGCCTGAGGCGAAAAAGGCTGTCTCACTTCCAGAAGGGAACATGCAAAACGAGGGAGGTACATCGGCGCAAACCGCTGAGCTAGCGACTCCAGCGCCAACATCCGTAACGGATAGGGTTAGTACCGCAGAAGAGCGCGAGAGAGTGCGAGGGCGAGACGAGCAGAGCTTGAGAAGCAACGACGATGGCTCCGAGTCTGTGGTACAAGGGGGTGGCGCCCAGCTGATGAAGCCGGCCGGAGGGGTTGAAGAAATGGTGAGGAACGATGTTGCGACTGCGCTTCCCGTCAGTGCACCACATAAGGCCGCAGACGCGGCCGTACCAAAAGACGAGCAGGTCCCCAGTGCACCGGTGGTAGGTCGGAAGTCCAAGGAGGAGCAAGTTCTCGCAGCGAAAGAAAGATACTTAGCGCGCAAAAAGCAACGAAATAGCTAGTCTCTGTAATTTTTGACACCGAGGACTTAGCTTTCATCCCTGACTCAGAAATAAAGGGTCATATTTGTACAATCAATAATCTCAAGTTCATCCCCACAATGATGTGAATATTGTTGCCCGTCACACATCTTGATTCCTGTAATAGTATCATGAAAAGCGGAGCATTCATCGTCGGTAGTTGGTCATCATTCAAGGCTACGGCATATCGTATCATGGAAAGCGCAGGTGGACAGAGGATCTTTTTTGAGGCAAGGTTTGGCGCAAATTATCATCGAATGAGCGCGCAGGAGGGAACTGGCGCCTGATAATGTCGTGTCATGCCGAATTCTCTGGCACTTTTATACTTTTCAATCGCCCATTTTTTCTATTGATTCGATCGCTTTACCAGCTAATGTACTTTGCAGCCCCCCTGACAAACGAAATTGCCCAGCACCGGGCGCAAGAAAGCCTTCCTCACAAAATGGAGGGGGCTGGCTGGCTGCTTGTGCCATGCCAGTTCCTCCCTCTTTTCCAGATTTGGTACTTGGTCCGATCGCCAAGGACAGGCCCCAAGGCCGTGCCGTGTATTGCGACATCCTTGATGGCCACCTTGACGGGGAATCCCGGACCTTGGCGAGGTCGACTTTGGACCGGCGGTTCTCGCGATGTTTACTATCCCGGCAATTTGTTTAGGCGACGTTCAACCTCATGCCCTTTCCGCAAACTACGAGGTGTCACATCGCCTGCCTGCCTGCCTGCTAGAAATGCCAGTCTCGACTCTCGAAGAAGGATCATGCCTCGCATCGAACATCGTCTTGTCCTGGATCTTCATAACATCGTCGTCTCCAACAATCTTCGCGTTGTTTTGGCGGAAGATACGCGAGAGCGATTCCACCAATCACCCGTCATTCAATCCTTTAGCATATCGGATGCCCTTCTAAAATATTTATCGCCTTGTTACACTTTCGGTCTACAGATGAACATCTGTGGCGAAATAATAAGATAAGGAGACAAAAAAGTACCGAGCAGCAAATGCCCACAAGAGAAAGCGAAATGCGCTATCCAATGAACTATAACCTAAGTAGGAGTGGAGCATCAAAAGAATCGACCGACAAAAAAGTACCGAGCAGCAAGTGCCCACGAGAGAAAGCGAAATGCGCCATCCAATGAAATATAACCTAAGTAGGAGCGGAGCATCAAAAGAATCTACCTTTTGCCATCGACAGAGTATCTATTGCAACTGCTGCTGTCTTGTACCCTGTGGCGTAATTGCCAGGCCATCGGCGGGTCTCGGAGGGCAAGCAAGTAGGGGTTTTGTATTCTAGTCTGTTACACTAACAAGATGCAATGCACACCGGCTGACCTTTAGCTGGGCGGCGACCACGACTATCGGACAGGTCTGACGTAATTCGCAGGTACTCCCAAGCTTTGTTGTCTGGTGAAGTACGGGCCTCCCTTTGAATGTATGCGAGGCCGGGTAGAGTGATCACTTATCGATGGCATCTTTCATGGATGACTTGCGTCGTTTGCACTTAGAACATCTTAGAACCTGGAAACTGGCGGGCGAGACAGCACTCCAGCGCACGAAGAATTCTACATCCTTGAAACCACTCTGAACTGCGAGGACAGTCACGGATGTATCGAGGGCTATTAAGGAGCCGTTCATTAATGTTAACTCCCCCGAAGGTTTGTTCAAAAGAGGTAGTCGTTTATTTGTGCGTAATTGCAAATGTCGTCCATTCGCTTCCTTCTCAGTCCCTCGAGGCTTGACATTTATTTAACCGGGAGTTTGCAGTTATGGAGGTCGCAGCATTCATCCAGGCCCGACTCGTACAATTTCTTTCCATTCTTTCGCCGTTAGTGACCGGACAATGAATAGATGGACAAGGTCCCGAGAGGTTCGAATACAAAGGACAGTCAGTCGTGAGGCAAAACTGTCTGCGTTCACCAGTTACACATGCACATAGTCCAGAACAATTGGCTGCATGGGTTCGTGGATCGATCCAAGAAGCATATTTATACCTGGTTCCGAAATAGGTTCTTCGGCAGCAGGATACAATAAATGTCTATAGAAAGAAGGCGGAAGTAAAAGATCTCGGACTCCGAAAGACCTCCTATCACGTCCGTGGATGGGCTTTAAGAATGAAACCCTCTCGCACCCTCTCTCTCACTCTCCCCTCCATCACTCTGTCTAGAAAACCAAGAACTCCCCGCACTCGCCAGGCCAGAACTCCCCACTCGCCAGGCTACCTATCTCACCCTAATGTGATCGTCTCCACTCGCGACCTCCGCCCTCCGTGCCGTCATTCACAGACACAGACACAGACACACACACTCTCTCTCTGTCTCTCTCTCCTGTGCCCATTCCTATTCTTAGACGCTTAGGGTGGGGGGAGAAGTTGTTGCTACTATCATGAGATAAAATACTCGAGGAAGAGGGGCATTGTAAACAAGGCCCTCTCTTTCGACAATCAAGAGCAGGCAGGCAGCCACGAGCTACGTCCTGCACTACCACACTACGCTGCACCACTCTGCTCTGCTGGTAGAGCTCACATCACTCGAGCCTCAACGCACTCGAGACCGCTAAAGATTACCACCGCCGGTACTTCTGCTGCTGCTGCTGCTCGACACTGGAATCAAAGGTCACTTTACGCTTTCCTTTAGTCTCGAGTTCTCGAGTCTCGCTCGACTCGGTACGGAGCCGCGCGGATCTAAGACGTCCTTAGCCCTCAGCTCGACCATCGCTCTTCGGCCAAAATCGTGCCAGGCGAGGAACAATAGTATTGTATTGCGTCCTAGGCGAAATGGCCGAGACACTGGCCGAGCAGCCAGCCGGCGGGAGTACAAGTCATGGCAGACAGCAAGTCCTTGATCAACCTGGGAATAATGAAATTCTCGCTGGGTGTGGGGGGGAGGGGAGGGGATGAGGGAATGAGTATGATGGTGGGGCGGAATTGAAGATCTAGCCGCTTTGGAGGCGCTGGAGGACCGCGATGGATGTAGGACGAATCCTTCACGTGAGTCCGTCAGGGCGCCCCATGCATGGCAGATCGAGCAGTCATTGCGCGGGACGAAGGGCCCCGCAGACGGCGTCGCGCCCGTCCCCGTCAACTCTCCAGGCCCTGCCTGCCAGTGGCTCTGTCGTCGCCGGACATCCACTGTTCCTGTACCCCGGCGAGGCAGGAACGGATCGGATCCATCGGATGTTTTGAGGTACTGGCAGTTGTGACACTCTATCTAGATCTATCTACTCGTCGATCGCGAGCCTTCGCAAGTCGACTGGCGATCTCGATGGACGTTGGCAGCGGGGAAGGTAGCTGCGATCCTTCGCAAGTCGACTGGCGATCTCGATGGACGGTAGCAGCAGGGAAGGTAGCTGCGAGTTTCGTTGTTGCTCTTCTGCGCCCCTCGTCCCTCGTCCCTCGTCCGGACACTTCGAGACGACAAGGTCCGTTTGAACCATCAGGTCGTCTGGCCAGTGGGCGGCCGCCACGTCAGATTTGCTCGACGCGGTTGTTCAGAGTCCAGACATGGCTACTTACTGCTTTCTGAGATGATGTGGAAGTGACGTGGATGCTGCCATGCGCTGTGTCGGGCCGTGTAGAAAGTTCCATGCACTCTCGACCAAAAGTACAAGACCAAGTGACTTCTAACTTTCCCTTTTCGATTCATGTCCCAAAAGAAGATTGTGCGGTCATTCTAGTATACCGCCCCTGTAACTGGGTTGTACCTTAGGAAATCTCCACTACTGCCAGAACATAGGTCTCGGAGTTTAATTGGGACTGGCAGTATTTTCCGGCACCTCTGAACTTCGGCCGAATCTCTACAAAGTGGCTGCAGAACTCCGCCACTGAGGTCCGCCTTCAGAAATATGTTCAACTTTCAGGCTCGTGTATTTCCCGAAGATCCAAATTCCCATCCTCTTAAAATTCGGCCAGTAACAAGTCCAGCTTGCCAGCTCTTCGACGGTGTCATTTATGTAAAATATGCAACACGCAAATATGGCCTTCAGGCTTTGCGGCTTATGCCATTTTTTTCCGAACCGTTTTCGGCCAATTATTTCACAACTGGAAGTGATTCTCTAAGGAGAAAATTTTTCAGGGACTTTTTAAAATTTGTCAGGGACCCTCACCCCCATCCCTTGAACTCTTTTGTAAGAGCATTCGGACTTTCACCTATTGGTCCTTTAGGCTTGAGATATGAGTACTGGGGACAGTGTATTATCCCAGAGTACTCGGCTGGCTTCTTGCAAATGTTTGCAATGTGCTCCTTGTAACAAAGGGACAATTCACCATAGGATGGTAGAGGAATCTTCTGACATTAGACTTCTGGCGGAGGATAAGATTCTTCTTCTTATGATTTGTAATAGTGTTATTTTGCTATGGATCATCTTCATCTTCACCAGTTTGGACCTTCTAGGATTGGGATAGTTGCTGTCCCACCAAACTATCTACGTATCACTATCTCAGTCCATTATAGGATAGGGATTGTTAAGATGGATATTATTCTCCTCTAAATTTGCACACTGATTGGATTGTGCTTCAAGTAAACATGAACAATAATAACTCCAAAGGTAAATGCGGAGAAGTTAACTTTTTTTTTTTGTCAGTTATGTAGAGGAAACTCTAGGTCAGATAGGATAATATCACATATTGTAGATTCAACATGTTGTGCGATTAGCAACATCTTACAAGACATGACCTACATATAACCTAGGTGGTAGACGGAAGTTACCAAGAGTAACGTTAAACTTAGCTCTTCTTTGGAAGAAAATTTTTGAAGCTTATCCCTCGAGAATGTGACTATTAAAAAACCGATTTTGGTTAGTCAAAGTTACATAGCAAAATCTTAGGTTTCTTTTTATAAATTACAACAATAAAATATGATGTTCATGAAGCAAACTTTTGTGTACATTGATATATGATGAGCCTGCCTGTTCAGTTTAGGCGATCGTTTAGTTTAGACGCCTAAACTATCTAAACTAGACTACGCGGATGCGCCTACTTATTCTACCCTTCATTTACGCATACATCTTTACTCTACAATTACAAGGTACCTGCATCTACTGGAGACAATGGATATGCTAGACACAAAGTCATCCACGTTAAGTTTCTATCAAAACCTTTAGAAATACTTGGGGTATATTAGACCAGGCATATCATATGCCACCAAAACGTTTCTCTAAACTGCCTACTGCAAGCACTAGCGTTTATGAATCGAGTAGATATTGAATTCTATCGCAGTGTAAGAGGGGATGTGGTGAGTTGCGAGGTTAGTTATCGAGAGGAGTGGGAGGTGTTCTGTCTCACCTAAGCGTGCAAATGACTTTCCTTTGAGTGTGAAACATGTTGATGAAGTTATTATGAAAAAATGTAGTTGCGTCCTTGATTGTAACTAAGTTTACACATCAAGAACTTCTAGAGAACCAAACTGTTCCTCGAGGATTATTGAGAAGATTCAAGGACATGTCCTAGGTGCATCTTGAGCCGATAGACAAATAAGGATGCTGGATTTAATGGAGATGAACTGAACCGTTTAGTCATAGATAAGGTTTCTTCGGATGACAAATTAGAGTTCCTTCGAAGAGATGGATGGCTGATAATCACAAAAATCATATTGGGCTACTGTAAGTTCCGGAGAACAGAGTTGTCTTATTGAACAGGAGAGAAAATCTAGAGATCGAATTCAAAACACTGTGATTGAAAACCTGATAAAGGGTGGTAGGAATTGAACTAAAGATCTATTGACCATGAAATGCACATGGCTCCATTTTATGCACTCTAGATGCTTAAGATAACTCACATTTGTCCATCGCCTCTAAGCCTAAATGAAGGTCTCCTAGTGCGACTAAATTAAGCTAATTTAGGTAATTGAGGCTCCTGACTAGACTAAGCATGACATCAATATCCGCTGCTATCAAATTCCTTAAAGATTGGATAGCATAAGATAATGAAGCATGAAACATACATATGTCACACATTAGATTTTAGACACTTTGTGCCTAAATAATAGATCAAAATTGAAAGTCTCCTTTTTCATATTCAAAATATTAATCTTTTTTTTTCACTTGTGTTTCCATCCGTGATTTCATCATAAAGTAATTTGTAGTGAACATATTTATCTGTGGTAATTATCCTTCTTATATAAATTATTTTACATATAGCTTGATAAATTCGGGAAAATATTGCAATTTTTTTTGTTTTTGTTTTTGTTTGTGCATAACCTTTTCTAGTAGGAACAATCCGCCTGGGGGGAGGAGGAGGGACATCATAGACTCAAAGCAGAATATCTATCACTTTGCAGATGGCTTATTGGTATGACAGACGTAGATGGCTACTTTAGCATTGTGCTAAGGCATTAGTAGCAGAAGCTAATAATACTATTAATAATGAATTGTTAAAACAAATATTCTAATTCATAAAAGGATGTGAATTCATGATATTTTTTAATCATTGATAATGTAGATAAAATGTATTGAGGTGTGAAAAATAAGTAAATTTCATTTTAATACAATTTTTAGATTAATCTATATAATATAATATCTCATAATATGACATACATGAATTTCATTTCAATTATAAATAAATAATTCATGACTCATATTCTGAATTATTTGAAAAAAAATTTAATATTTTTTTTAAAGATAACTTAGATCTTGATTAATTTTGATTAGTTTGATTTTGACTAATTTGACCTAGAGATAAAGAATAAAATCAGATATAAACTTCTGTGATATAGATTATGATTTTCAATAAAAACTATGTGAATTTTATAAATTCTTAATCATTCACAAAAAATATTGCATTTCAATCAACTCAAAATATTATTGTTGATGCTAATGATATTTATAAATAAAAAAATATATACCTACCGAATTACTTATATAGTTTACATTTTTCTAACATAAATTTGCAATTTAAAGTTCTTTACGTAAATACTTTGTAAATAAATAATCTAGATAATAATTTTTTTACAATCAAATTGTCCGCAATGATTCAAATCCAAGTGGTCAGTTGGTGGCGGTGGGTCCAATATTTTAGTTGTATATGATTGGAGTTTTGGCTTATTTGGCTTTACATCTCTTGTACTACTTACTTGAGTTGAATAGATTCATTTTGTGATCATGTGGACATATTTAGAAGGACGAACAACGTATCATGTGTGTCATCATGTTTTTTTTGTTGTGGATTTATTGGTTTTTGAACAACAATTGATATCATAACCACTAGAGCAGGTTAACGTAGGATTGTCAACAGTTGAAAGTGAGGGTGAAAGCTATGAGCAAATATGATTGAGCTGCTGTCAAATCGCAAGAATGATCAATGTGAGATTTGGCGTCTCCAGCGATCAAAGATAAGGATTGTCAGTATCAATCTTCCTAGTGACAAGACTTGCATAGATCATGCCAAGACGTTGGCTCTAAGCATTGAATATTTTTTATTCTTTTTTTGGAACTTACAAAAAAAAGAATCTAGCTTCGTACACTTGCAGGATACGGCGATTTCAAAGCATTGAATTTTTTATATTCTTTTTTTTGGACTTCCAAAAAAAAGGAGCCAACTTCGTACACTTGAAGTATACGGCGACCTCAAAACTAAATGTTTCTTGAGCATATCTATCATTAAATTGAGGAGTTGAAGTAAAAAATGATGTTTGTCAAAACTAACAATTGAAGATAGTCAATGTGTGACTATTTTCATTTAGTTGACTTGGAACTCCGTCTTCTGACCTCTTGACGATCTTTGCCTAACGAAGATCAAATTTGATAGATAATTTCAAATTTCAGTGTGAATTATAACTTTCATTTAAATAACAAACGACCACAAAGTTCCTTTGCAATAGAGCGTTGTGTCATAGTAACAACAACAAGGACTAATTTTAGGATTACCAACAAAAACACGCGGTAAGAATAGAAAAACTTAAATCACTTTGGTTGTTATGAAGTAATACATTATCTAGCGATTATGTGTCGAGAAATATGCAAATTGGTTGGAGACAATTGAAAGATCATTCGGATGATTTTAAAGTTGACATAAAAAATCTCACGCAACAACGATGAACTTTGCCATTGCATGTTATTGTATATTCTCAATGATTTGAAGATAGGGGAGAGGAAGAGAAAATATATCCTAAGACGTGTGCATGCATCGATTAGAACATTCGGTGGTTTGTGTATTTTTTTCTCTTGTGTTTTGGCCTGATTTTTCTTCACAATTGATTTTAAAGCTAGAGTACATTATCATTTATGAATAAATTAATTTAACTAAATCTTAAATTTAGATGTCTCATGTGTGGCATTTAAAGCTAGTACACATGAAAAATAAATGCGTGTTTTTCTATGAGAGAGTAAATTGTTACCTTGCATTGGTAAAATTGATTTAGAGTTTGCAAATATTGTATCATGAGCAAGCATCATACACAAGACTTTAGTGTTATAACTTATGGTTACAAGGAGTGTTTAAAGTATGTACATAATGACGTGTGGAAATACCCTTTTAACGCATCATTCTCTGATAATTATATTATGTATCATTTATTGATACTCAAAATTT